CCCTTGGGTGACTTGCACAAATCTGCAGAGTTCTGATCTTCTTGGATTTGGGTGGGGAGTGGAAGTGGCGGCTTTGTTCTCTTAGATGGGGACTGTGAAGCTGGTAAATATAACAAACTTGGCTGGGGCTTGAAGAACTAACAGCTTGGGTTTCTGACACACAGACTCTGCACAGGGTGGGCCAGGCAGTCGCCCTCCCTTGACTGTGGCCTGGACCTGGTGGAAAATGCTTACTGAGGAAGCAGTGGCATGCTGGAAATACCTTTTCTTTTTTTTCAAAATATATATTTTTTATTAATTCTCATTGGTTTACTGATTCATTGTTAGTATTTTGGAAGTACAGGATAGCCTCCATAGCACACCCACCACCAAGGTACCCACAGTCCTCCACCTGTGTCCCCAGTATTCTCTCTGCACCCTGTTCTCAGCCCTCCCCTCCCCCACTGGGTGCCTCAGCTCAATGGTCAGCTTGCAAAGGTTGGTTTTGAAATCTGCCTTGATCTGACACTGTTTGGTTTCTCTATATTCCACATATATGTGACACCATCCAGTATTATCTTTCCCCTTCTGGCTTATTTTGCTTAGCATAATCGCCTCCAGCAATCTATTCTTTCAGTCAGAAAAGTTCTGAGCTTCAGTTTCAACTCTGCCCCTTGTTAGCTGCATGACTTCGGGCTTGCCACTGAATCTCTGCAGACATAAAATGCTTTACCTTTAACACAAGGAAATGAATGCTTCACACAATTGTAGTGAGGGTTTGAAATGAACATCTAGGACACCTAGAAGCAGAATGACAGGAGAGCAGAACATTGTTTTGTCTCTGCTGTGCCTCATGCCCGATTCATGGCAGGGTGCTTATTGAATGAAGGTGGGACTTGCTCACCAATGGCAGCTTGTCATTGTTACCAGGTGATTACTCTTCCAGAAAGGAAGCAAGAAAAGTTTGAATTTGCTTGATCATTAAAATATATATAGCACTTATATTATTATATACTCTTATATAGTCATATTGTAACAGGGTGGTCCCCAGGGAAAGGGGAAGTTCCAAGTTCCCTGCCCCACCCAAGAGAGGTAGAACTGAGCAGGGAGGAGAAGTTGGAGAGGAGACTGAGGAGGAAGGAAGCAGGAGGGGGAAAGCAGAAGGAGACCTGAGGGAGACACACGGAGCAGAGACATGTGAAGAAGCCGTGCTTGTTTCTTGGTCCTGGACTGGCTAAAACAGATGTGGATGACCCCCGTGGAGGTTGTCTATGGCGGCTTTTATCTTGAGCTAGATTTTGTTCTTTCTGTCCCAGATGTGCTGGGCTACTTCTGTCCCTTTCCTGTGGGTCCCTACGATGTGGTGCCTTAGCCTTGTGGCAGCTTTCAGGACTCAGTGACCCTGTTTTGGGCCAACCCTCTTTGGCTGGACATTACCCACGAGGGGATGGGTAACTTTGGGTGCTTCATTTGAAAACTATATTCTTTTCCTTTTCTTTATTGAACACTAATTGTATTAATGTTTCTTTCCATTAAAGGTCTTATGCATTAGAAAATGTTTTGTCTTGATGACAGACCTATTTAGAGTGTCAGGTTTGGGGGTTCTGGGTGTACCTCCTCCTGGTGTACCTTTATATATGTCATATAAATCTTGTATATGTATATATCATATGAATATTGTAGAAAAGAGACACAAATCAAGAGTTTGAAAAAGTGCACTCTGATCCCATGACTATACAACTTGGTAAAGCTGATGTATTTATTTTATTTTATTTTTATTTTTTTGGAAAAGACTGTACGTGTGCCTTACCGCCAACAGTGTAGCTGTGGACTAACATGGAGAGGAAAAAAGATCTGACAGTACCTAAAAGACACATCTATGACATGATTGGAGCTTGAACATACAACATAAGAATAAATCTTTCATTAGTCTGGGTATCTCACTAATTCAGGATCTTAATGATTAGGTACAAAAGGTTGGCTGTTCCTTTCTACAGACAGAATGACAACTACTGCTTTAAGGGAGGGAAATGCTGCCTCCGAAACCTTCAGATAGAAGGCAGAAAAATGTGAGCATTCTTATTTTATACTCAACCCTCTGTAATGAGTAACAGAGCTAGCTAAGAGAAACATTTCACTAGAATTTTGTAAGATGTGAAGTACTAGGCAGAGTGGTAAAGGGAACTAGACAGATAGATACTTTAAGTTCACCTGCTACAGTCATTTGTAGTTTCTTACTTTCCTGGATGGTTTAACTGAAGGTTACTGAACTTCCTTGTATAGCAGATTTTAATTGAACCCTACTCTGGTGTGAGACTGGTGTATCGGGCAGCCCAGTCATTAAAATGTAATGTCTAGCCAGGCCAACTCGGGAATCAGCTACTCCTTCAAGCTCCTTCAAGGAGACCTTTGTAAGTTCTGTAGTTTTTCTAAGTCTTAATTTCCTTCCCTGGAAAAGAAGGAAGAAGAGCTACCTCATTATAAGCATAGTTACAAATATTGCATAACTCGAACCATGTCAAGCACTTAGAATCTTTGGCAACAAGACTCAGCAAAAGTGAGCTGGAAAAATGACTGCTTTTCTGAAAGAAGGTCTGGTTATGTGTTCTGTTGGTAACTGCTGCATAAACTGAATGGTTTCCTAAGGAGAAGTTGCTGTTCTATCCGGAAGTAACATGTCATTTTAATTTGTAAGCTTTACAACTCTCAGGAAGTTGGTCCCCAATTAGGAAATAGTTACCTGTCATCCAGAGCTTGCTTGTTAGAAATTAATGAAGTGTCCGGTTATGCAAATATTTCAGGGGAAGTTTGGAAATCTAGAACTTACTTGATGAGACTGTATGCAATGAGTAAAGGTTCCTTTGAAAAAGGAAAAAAAAAAATCAACCATCCATGTCTTAGCTAGATTAAAGAATTTAGATTAGTGTTCAAGAAAATTGCATGGATGTGGCTTGTATGGAAAATGAAACCACATATTTGCAAATTGTATTCTTGATGAAATAAAAGCCTCTCCATAACATAGCTATCCCACGAGCAGATCCTGTTGCTGTTTGCTGTTAAGTGGACCCAAATTTCAACCACTTTTTACCTCTCCACTGTATCAGAGACTGGCTTTCATCCTTCCTTCACCCCTCTTCCAGACCCCTCTTCCAGACCAGAGAGCCGCCTGGCAATGCTCACTGCTCTCCTCTCCTCCCCCTTCCCTAACACACTCCATTTCCTTCCTCTGTGCTACCAATACCCTTCTTTTTTGCTTGTTGTTTTTACCTCACTTAACACCTTTTGTACTTTTATTTATGACTCTCCATGATGTATCCTCATGTGGACTCTGACATGGCCTGTATTATTTCTACCCTTGATTTTGTGTATTCCTTACACAGAAACCTGTGCATTTTGTGAAAACTACATTCCCTGTGAGCTGCAATACTATTATAAAGGAATGGGGCAAATTCTACAAAACTGTCTCACCCGCATTCCAGTTAATAAAGAGAATCCATCTAAACTTCTTAGAGACTTTTTATTTAATTTTTTTTGAATACTTAGAATGTTTTTAATGGAATAACTTGACTGGAACATGTTCGCACCCACACCTAAGGAAACCTCTGTTTCTTAGATGTTTGTGATGGTTTCAAATCACAGACACTATTTGCCATGCCTTCTTCTCTAGAGCCCTGTGAGCATCAGCAAACTGAGCACCTACTCAAGTACCTGGGCTACTGCTCAAAGATCACCTTCAGTCTCTTCTAGGCAATAGATTTGAGAGAAATAGATGATTGCTATTTTTACACAGGAAAGGCAGAAGCAGCTTTTCACGGAACCCCACGTGTGTTATTTGCCCACCAGGAGATGCCAATTTGGAGTTTCCTCCATTATGCTGGCTACCCAAGCTCATTAAAAGCCAGAACTAGATCTAGGACACACTCAGCCCGTCCATCTCCCAAATCGAGACAGTAACTCAAATCAGGGTCTTTCACACTCTGCTTCCTACCAGTTCTCTCTGAAGAGCCCAAATCTGCTTTGACGCACACCCAGCCTGGGAAACCAAGTCCAACGCCTTGGCTCTGTTTCTGCTGGACAGTACCTCCCCCAAATGTCCCCACCTCCTCGGTTATATTTGAAATCAGGTTCACAGAGATTTTTTTTTAAATGGAAGAGAGTTAAACATGCAACTCTTTGCCTGACATCTATGTGTGAATGACTTTCAATTAAAATACGCTCCATCAACAGGTTTCAAGGGCTGATACAGATTTGGCGAGTGTTTCGTGACAGGGAGGCTGGTAAAAGAACAGAGGCGCATTGTGTAGTCTCAAAGTGGGAGAGAAGGCGTGATGAAGGCAGAGACTGGAGACCACTGCGCCGTTTCAATTTTGTCTAAGGAGGCTCCTGTTAATCTTCAACTGGGTGGGGACAAATAAAAATTGTGCACCTGGTATTCGTACTCTGCAGCTGCCAAGCTAGAAGCTTGTCTCATATGATTTATGAAAATGTACTACCCTTTTTCCCTTTTAATGTGCGTTTGACTTTATACAGAGGCACGTTTAACCCTGAAGATTCATTAATGAAGCTTACAGCCTTGTTTAAAAAAAGGAACTTGGAGGGACTGTTTAATTCTTTACAATAGAACATATAGCACTTTTGCCTGCTCTGTGCAGCTGAAGATATAATTAGGCGTCACTAGAGAGAGAACAGGGCGAGGGTGTGACGAGATTTCAAGCATTATAAAGAAAATTCCCCCCAAATTGCTTACAAATGTGAGGGATTAGTCCATGGACTTGAGTCTCTCTGAGACTTTTTAGCAGCCAATAATTTCTTCATGATTGAGTAGTTGCAAAATAAAAGATTGCTTCCTCTCTCAGTGCCATTTTGCTAGACATTTTTAATGAAGTAGCAAATTTGTAGCTTGACAGGAAAAGCTCACTGACAACGTATTAGAATTTCTAATCCCAGCCGACATATCTAGTTACTTCATTTTCAGATTACTGCGCTTTCCTCATTAGTAGACGTATGAGTAATGCAAATACCTTTGCCGACACCTGCATGCTGTTCTCTTGCATGTTCATGATGGCCTCAGAGATCTTGACGTCTATGGGATCCATGACCGACTCGATGTTGAAAGGTCCTTCCAGTCGCTCGGCCACCAAGAGCATTGCATCTGTGAAAATACAGGAGCCTGGTTTGAGAAGGGGGCCCTTCAGGTTCTCAGCATGGGTTTTGACATTTCCAACACAAGCCACTCACCCAGACACGTTATGTGCTCTTATGTCACCCAGAATGGAATGCATGACTACATCTGAAAGGAATATTTTATTTCATTTGAAGACTTAAAATGAGTTTACAGGTATAGAAGTGAGGCTGAAAATGAGGAAACTACCTCAGATTTAAAAAGTTGGACATATTGAATCATCCCTTGTGATGGGAAGAAATAGCAGCAGCAATATTAGGTCAGGGTTGACTGCATTTCAAATATAGTCTAACCTCTTTTCTCCTGCAGTTGGGGAAATTGAGCTGAGGGCGGAAGTGCTAATTTGTGAACTCAGATGCATAACGCTCAAGCCCCAGCACAAGCAAATTCCTGTGTGGGAAGCATCTCTGGGCTTCCCATAAACAGCTCTGTCCCTACTTTGTGCTCTCATTTACCCAGCATGCTCTCCTGTTCCTATACTTCGACAACCTTTGGGGATAATGAAGGATCTCTTACTTGGTTTTGGAGACACCGTGCTTTTTATGGTACTTATCACATTGCAAGTTCTCAAAAAATGTTTATGAAGTTAAACTGAATTGAAGTATTCTTAGGAAGCCTTTATTTTCTGGAGGACGTAGTAGTACAGAAAGGGTGGCCAGAGCTGTGGGCCAGGCGTTAGTGACTTGGCTTGAGTTCTCTTTTGGTCAGTAGATGAGCGGCTGTGGCATAAGTTCTTCGAATTTATTGGACCACAGAGTGATGTCTTAAAGGAACTGGGGATGGGGAGTCTCTGCATCTATGGCAAGAGGCATATGCCCATTTTTATGCCCCTGAAAACTGGCCCACACGTGTATATAGTGTTCTGGGTAGAGTTTGATAAACTACATTGCCACTAGGACTATAGAGCAGAGCTTTCTGTGAGGACGAGAGAGCAGCAATTAAAATTTGAAATATGGCTAATGTGACCTAAGAATTAAGTTGCTAATAAATTATTTTGCTTTTCATGAATTTACATATAATTTTGAATATCCACTTGAGCCAAATGGCTACCGTACTAGACAGCACAGTCTGGAATTTGAACACATAGACCCAACATAGCTCAGAGTTTCATTTGTTAAAAGCTTTGAAGGAGCCAATTTTAAAACACTGTCTTTATTTCATGTTTATTACCAAACCTTACAAAATGTAGAATAAAAAAAGGTGAGAAGTACACCCAAATTGCCACTTCCCAGAATAACACTCAAAACAGCTTGGTCTATGTAACATTCTTTTTTTTTTTTCTGTGCATGAATATTTTAAGCATGCAACTGGAGATATATCATACATATATCATATTATCTGCTTTCCAAATGTAATATATTATTAATGTAACACACTATTTATAGTAGCTCTTTTACAGCATTACTGTGAGGAAACGAAAAAGTTTTTTGTAACTTTTCCAACCATGATCAACCAAAGTCCAAGAGCAAAAATTTCTCAAGGTTATAAGTAGTGATGAATTAGACATCTGCATAAACTTTAAGGCAAGATTTTTTTTTTAAAGGCAAGATTTTTTTAAATAAGAAAGGTATGGTCTTGTCTGGAAGCAAAAATCCACATTTTTGAAGAGCACCAGACCTTTGAATAGTCTCAGCTTTCACAGTAGCGACTGGCACTTTTGGCCAGACCTCAGAACTAAGGCCTCACTTTGCCCTCAGTAGAATGACCTGGAGTCCAAGACCCCACGGCGCTCAGCACTTGGGTCCCTATATCGCTGCTCCCCATACCCACCCCCATCTATTCTCCTGGGCATACGTGACATGCAAAACTGAAGTGTGGACCTAACACAGAAGCCCTAACAACACATTTTCTGAGTTTCCTCTGAGACAACACAGCAGGATCTTACATCATGATATAGAAAAGGGCAATAAGGGGCACAGTAGTAATTGACTATGGAAGTTGTTATTAATCAAAATTGATCAAAATCAAATCATTAAACAGCATGAATATACACCCATCTATGGAAACATGATTCCATATTTAGAAAAACATGAATTATACTAATTTCTGCAAAAGCTCAGATGTTGTGAACAAAATGTCTAGTTAAGATAACATGCACATATCAATTATAAAAACACACAGGCTTTGGTAAGAAAGAGAAGGCTGACAGAGAAGGCTGTTTTTCTGCGCTCATATTTATCCCATTACAAAGCTTAAACAATGGGTTAGCTGATAGAAGATCAGATCAACCAATGCAAAAGAAGACATGCTATAGAGAAGTCCAGAAATAGAAAAAGAAAATCATAAAAATAGCCGTGTCCCTCTGCTATCAACATTGGTCTCCCCAGCTCCCTGTTTTGTTCTAAGTGTGCATGACTGGCATCCCCAGGGCCATAGAAGGAAGGCAGCTTTTCCAGACAACTCCTCTAGCCTTTCCAACTTGCACTTTAACGCATCCTTCTAATAGTACCTGCCTCTCGGAGTCCAGACACTTTATAACGGGAGAAATAGTCTCAGAGAAGACCTGGGATCAGATGGTGGCTCTTCCTTGGTATCAGGCCCCAGGTGGAGAGAGTCTGTGTGGGAGCAGTCAAGGGCATCCTGCTTCACCTGTTACTCCCCTCCTGCTGCCAAGTGTGCATCCAGGTGTCAGGAGATGCTACCTTCTGCTTTGGGACTGAGGCAAGTCCGACTCTCCTCCAAATGAAGAGAACACTCACTCCTTCTACAACACGAGCCATAGCTGCTAAGTTTCTCTGAAACCAATTAAGTCACAACATGGCCATAATTTACTCTGGAGGCTGCCGCCCTGTGCTATCTTAATTATCTCCAGGATGTTTATGTTTTGAAGTATTTGGAACATTATTTTTAACTGTACTCTTGGAGATGTTATCTATTGCCAATTAAACCCGGGCTGTGGTTGTATGTCAGCGAATGATCCACGGTAGCCTCTGAACATATCTCCTGTGTAACCCAGGCGTTGTTTCTCTCTAAATAAAGGATTATTGCTTTGCTCAAGGTGCATAAATAAGTTTGGTTTCTAAATGGAAAATGATATTTAGGTAGATTAAAAATAACTGGTTTCTTGGCAAGAGGAACAGGAGCACATTAAGCCACCAAGTGGCATTGGCTCAGTCTGCGTGTGGAACAGCTCAAGTCCAAGGGCAGCACTCAAAACGGAGCAGCTGACCCTAGGGGGCTCCTCACCCCTACTGTCAGGTAAGTGTGAGGACGCCAAGAAGACTGTGAACTAAGAAGCTGGTTCTCACCCACTTCAAATCTGCTGCCACCGTGATCTTGGGCTTTCCATACACCAGGACGATGAGAGAAAAAAAAATTCTGTTTATGAGACCCAGAGTATATTTTTGTTATATTAGCCCCCCCAGCAGACTAAGGCAGGTGCCCAAAGGGCCAGACACATGACTGAAGCTTTCTAGAACCTTTCAAAACAGCTCATTTGCCAGGTGATTATGACCTGTTGATGCCATTCAACACCTGTCAGCCCTAAGAATCTGCCAGCTGAGCCTTGCCTGAATTTCTGATTGACAGTTCTACAGGTTTTTTTTTAATAAAACTGTGGCTGTTATAAAACTATTTGAGGCTGCTAAATTTGGGGGTAATTTATTTCATAGCAGTAGAAAAGAGGAGCTAGATATTTCTGATTGCTGGGTAGCACTAAATATGAAACTATCTTGTTGCATGTTTATACTTCCTTAGGATATAAAGTGTGCTTTCATATGATCAGACAGAAGGAATATGATCAGAGAAAAGGAGATGCAAATTTGAAATGACTTTGCTGAATTAGTCTGATTTTAACAAGAGAATATCTTTCAAAATATTTTGGAGAAGGCAAAAAGGAAAGCCTTCCTTTACAAATGATTTGTCATTAAGCTTTCCTGGAGCAACAACATAATAGAAAGGACCCTGAAAATTCAGTTGGGGGGTGTGAGTGGGGATGTGATGTCCAGCATGGTGCTAAGTTCTGAAAACAAGGTTGTATAGTTGAAAATAGTTAAAGAAGTGATCTTAAGTGTCCTTACCCCCCTCCCCCCACATACACACATGGCCACTAGGAAAGATGATTAACCTCACTGTGAAAATCACTTTGTGATATATAATGTGTCAGATGCACCTTAAACCTATGTAATGTTATATGTCAATTGCAACCCAATAAAGCTGGAAAAATAAGGAGAATTCAATGAAAATCAACCCAATTTAACCTAATATGTATTTATAATGTGCCAGGTCCCTCACAATGCCACCATGGATTGCAGGAGTAGGGGTTCTGAAGGAGTCTACAGTTGCCAACTCAATTATGTTTCAAATCTTTTTGAGGTGAGGAATGTGAACCAGATGAAATTTAAAAAGATATGCTCTTCCTTTAGAAATTTGAATTAAGATCACACCCTAATATTTCAAAGTCCTTATTCCATCTTCTAATAATCTACTGTCCTACTAATAATCTACTCTTCAAAAAATGAAACTGACCAACATGGTCCACCTTATTGTGTGACCAGAATGCCACCCAGCTCATGTCGCTTTTCTTTGGTGGCTACACCATGGTTTTCGCCTAACCAGGATGCTTTTCCCCACAGAAAAGCCAGCAAAGGAATACAAAGAATCACGTGACTTGAAGAGCACCCTCTCACATTCAATCACTGGCACCCAGTCATTCATCACCAAAGAAAAGGGATGAGTTTCGGTGTGTCTCTAAGCCCCACAACCTGGGTACAATTAGGAGAAGCTGTTTTCCACTGGGCTTGCTGGGATGGGCCTCAGAGAACACCTGTCTGTTCCCTTCCCTCACATCAATTCATTTAAATGCTTGTGAGAGCTTGGACAACAGCATATTCTGGAGAGACCTAGAAAGAGGGCATAGCTAATGGGGACTGAGGAATATACAACAGCAGCAGGCAGGCATGACCTGAATAATGAGAAAAGGGATCTTGAATTATCCAGCCAGAAACATTAAAAAATATAACTATACTTAA